TACAATTTCGTAATTTACTAAGCATTTTTTAATTTTTGAGGACCTAAGTATTATCGGATATACACTTTTAGCCCTCTGCGCCGAGCAGGCAATAAATTTGTACATAGAGTGCGTGCGTCGTGATTGTCAGTCTTCCCACCCTCATCGTCTTTCTTGCCCTTTTATTTACAGCCCGTCATTCATGATTAGATTACGGCTGTTTCATTGCACATACGTATACAGCACGTATTGCATACTCATCTCGTTTCTTCTCCCATACATGCACCGGGCTCGTTGCCTTCCATAACTACCGCATTTGATCTTCCAATTCAGTTTGAATTAACATGCTATAGTTTCAGCAGTTTTCAGTATACCAGTTAGACATAGCCGCAGCACTGCATATAGTTGCCACCTCTTGCCCACATGAGCTTGCACTTAGCGCATTCAGCAATAATTAGGATCATGATGGATTTCTAATTTAGCTATTTATTTGCTGGAACTTAATCTCCGTAACTTTTATGCTCAGCATCCTTGGCATTGCAAGTGCTGTTGAATGTTGGGTTACTTTGGATACTGAACATATTCTATCAAATGTGTAGTTTTAGACCACTAGATTAGTGGCAACAATCATGTTTCTAAGCACACCGAAGGGTCGCAAATCCCGTACTTATAGACCTACTTGCGCGGTCCAGCACCATCAAACCATTTTCAAAATAAACAAACACTTGAACACATTTGCTTCCAATTACAGGCGAATCCGTCTAATACTTGGTGTTGACGCATCACTCATAAAATCTAGAGCTAAACCGAAATAGTAAGAACACATATGTCTTCAAAACAAAATATCATGCTTAGTACAGGCCGATCTTCGGATCTGGCGAGCGGGGGTGCTCATATCTGACCTTTCCCAATCGTACCCAAGTTCCCGAGCCGAGGCAACTTTGGTGATGACGGACACGTGGCCTTAGGCAACGAGTCAGGGTTTCCTAAATTCCCCCAAAATAAATATTTTGGTGGCGACTCTGTATCTGGCAAAGCAGTATATGTTTGGCACTTCTTTCAAAAATCTGTTTTCTCAAAACGATTTGCTGGATTTGGACTCTTTGGTTCAGACTTAGAACCGTGACAATTTGAGAGTCCGAATTGTAGTGGGCCCAATATCGAACGGAACGGGGGACTCGTTCCTCCCCGGGGCGTTCGGGGACGTCTACAAGAAGTTTCGACGCTCGAGCGTAATTTTCCATCTCCCAATACTTTGCTCTGCAGGTCTTCGTATGCTCGAGTGGGAGTTTTGATGCTCGAGCGTGACCCTTCATTTTTGTTCCACCGCTCGAGCGAGGACCATGGTCTGCAAAACTTCTAGAAGTGTGCAATCGACGCTCGAGCGGTGCTTTTGACGCTCGAGCGTGAGTCTGTGTCTGACGCTCGAGCGAGGAGTTCCACGCTCGAGCGGGGTGACGTGTATAGTAGTCCGAGTTTCACCTTTTTGGATCACTTTTCAACATCCTTTCTCTCTCTTACTTTTCAAAAAACACCATTTGAGAGCACTTCACTCTAAAACCTTAACTTCTCTCTAGGATTTGATCTAGTTAGAGTGATCTCCTACCTTTGGGCCTTTGTAAAAAGTGTTGATTTTGGTGAGGGCTATCTTTTGATCCGAAAATCTTGGGTTTTGGAGCATCTCCAAATTCTTCATCTTCTCCATTGGGTCACATCTTTTGAGGTAGGGATAACTACTCATTTATATGATCTTTGACTTAAATTTTTAGTCATTTTGATTTAATATTGAGTTTGGGTGATTTTGGGTGTTAGGGTTTCTAAATGTATAGAGAGGGGTTTTGTTATTTTGACTCATATATATATATATATATATATATATATTGGGTCTTAAAGTGATGCTATTGTTGTTGATTGTTGATATTGGTACCTTTGGGTCCAAGAGAGAGAGGAAAGCCCTAATTTTTTGTTATGAATTAATTGATATAATTAATTTGGGAATGTTATGAAAATATGAAATTGGGGTGGAAATGATGAAATTTGCATAATATGAGTTAGAATGGTGGAGTTGGGTTTATTAATCGCCCACTTTGAAAATGTTGAATATATATATCTGTTGAGGCATTTATTAACTGTTTAGAAATAACTACTTTGGGCTATCGGTGGAGGATAGTTTTGATTGTTGTAGGCAATGCATGATGATTAGGCAAACTAAAACTAATCAATTGAATATGTCATCGAATATGACGATTGGAATTATACATCAAATTTATGTATTGATTGATTATGTATATGATATATGTTTATATACATTGTATTGTGAGGGAGGAGATAGGGGATGTACTCCACGGTTTAGGGGAAGATAGGGGATGAACTCCTAAATCGGATATTGTTTGGAAGGAAATAGGGGATGAACTCCATCGATACAGCGAATATGTGTATCTATTGAAGTATTGATATAGCAAGTCTGTGTATCATATATGAAGTACGGAAGTGTTTTGTTTGAGATTGATACAACAATTATGTGTATCTATTGTGAAGTATGAAATGCTTAATTTGAGTTGTTATCTCAATTGAAATGGAAGTACTGTTAATATGAAATGTAATCTCATGTAAATTGTTTGGCCAGGTTCTGAGCCATAGTTATGAATTGAGGAAGTGAATAAGAAATGGAAAATGGAATGAAACATGGACACTTTTGTCATGTAATTGAAATGGGTTATGAATTGAATTATGAGAGTTAAACATTTATCAAATGCTAACGTTTTAGTTATTGCTCATATTATGTTTAGCATATCTCTACTGGGCGTTGGCTCACCCTATATGGGACATCATTTTCAGGTACAGGTAGCATACCACCTCCAAGGACGTAGCTTGAGAGGCTTAGTGGCTGGGACATCTTTTTGTTGTTTTTGTTGTATTACATGTATATCAAGCCAAGGGCTTATTTTGTGTAGAGTTAATACACTCTTTTGTAACCAAATGTTGACTTGGAAAGTTGTAAGCCCGTAGGGCATTTACTTTTGTTGTCAACATGTAATACATTTTGTAATGAATACTCTGATGATATGTAATTATGCTTTATCCCCTTATGTCTAAGCATGTCAAGAATGTATGCTTTATGGGTTCATTTTGAGGACGTTACAAAGGTGATGCGACTCAAAATAAGTTAAAAGTCAAATTTTGGCTTAGCCATCTTCTCAAAAGAGTGTTTCTGGGTGCACCGCATGTTACCAAATTTAAATATTCACCACATATTCAAATTTTAAGCACTTTTTCGAATATATATACATAACATTTTGGGCAAATTATGCCCGTAGTCCAGTGTTTTGGTTCTTATAATTTTAATTGATTCGATTTTAATTTTGAATTTTTTATTTTGTTTCAATTTATCAAATTGATTACAACTGTTAGTATTTTTTAATTAAAAAAAAACACATAAATGGCAATTTTAAGGTTAAAATTATAAGCCTACTCAATTTAGCGAGGTAATCTCAGTTAATTCAGTGACAATTTTCTATCAAAAACACTAACAATGTCATCAATTGGACCAAATTGTAACAAAATTTATAATTAAGAGTCAAAATTAAGTCAATTAAAAGTGTAGAAACTAAAATGATATAAGATGCAAAATATAGAGATTACAGGTCTAATTTTTTTTTATCAACAAAAAATTTCATTAACAGCATGAAATTAAAGGTACAGGAAGATGACATTCGGAAAGTATAAATTACCCCTACTACTGCTACTCATACAACAAACTCCTTGGCCTCACGATTTTTGTTTTTAAACAAAAAAGTTAAGAAACACTTAACTAGAAAATAAAATACATAACATTTTTGTTGAGTCTATTGATGTGAGAACCATATATGTGAATTAAATTCATTTCTCTTATTAGACTAGAAGCTTAACAGAAAAAAGTCTCAGTCGAAATCTTGAAGTATTCAAAGGCCAAAAAATGTGGGGGGAAAAGGCCATTCAAGAAGTCTCAACACAAAGTATGCCCATTCCTACCCTTCCTGGCAAAGAAATAGCAAAGTGACACAAGTGAAAAGTCTGAGGAAACCTTGGTGAATTTACACCGTCACTACAGGAAAAATAGGATAGGGTGGCGTTTTTTTAACGACGTTTTTTTGAACGTCACTTTTATTAATATTTAACTACGTTTTATAAACGCCACCTATTCCTTGAAATAAAACGACATTGTTTTATAATAGGAATCGCTTTTAAACGCCTCCAAATCCGTTAGCCTCACGCGCCTCCTCTCTCCCTCTTTGTTGAAACCCTTATTTTGAATCTGAGATGTTATACGCACGCATCTCTCTCTCTTTCTCTCAACCCTCTCATTCTCACACCTTCAAATCTCGCCTCTCTCCTGCTCACCCCCAATTGCTTCTAAACCCTCGAGAGCGATTTTCTTGGAGATTCAGATTCATGCAGGTTCATTTTGAGATTCAGAGCGATTTCGATTTCATCTCAGAGTGATTTCGATTTTGAAGAGAGCGATTTTCTTTGAGATTCAGATTCATGCAGGTTCATTTTGAGATTCAGAGCGATTTCGATTTCATCTCAGAGTGATTTCGATTTTGAAGATCTCTCTCTCGATTTCGAAGCTTCACCGTGTCTCTCTCTAGATCTGGCCAGTAATCATAGTTTTATGAGAGAATAGGGGGGGCAGGGACTGGGAGATTGCGAAGAGAGAGATTCATCTTTGAGATTTAGAGATTCAGATCGGTCTCAGAGATTTCATCTCAGAGCGATTTCGATTTTGAAGTTCTCTCTCTCGATTTTGAGGCTCCACCGCGACCACCATCTGCACCGCCACCACCATCTGCACCAGCTAGGTATTGATTTCTGTCTCTCTCTCTCATGCTCTTCCTTCCCGTCTCTCTCGATTTGGTTATTGAAATTGCAAACAAGAAACTACCAGTTTAATCAGGATTTGCTGGCCTTGTGTGAAAGTGACCGGAAGAAGGAGCTTTTGCTGCTACTACAGATCATTGACATAAAGATTATTTCTCTAGGTCATCTACCAAATATTTTCATATCCTTGGGGAGGCTTTTATTGGAGTCTTTTGTGAAGAAATTTATTTTGGAATTAAAAAGCTGTGGTATGTCCATGATTCTTTCATTTTTATGATTTATAAATATAACAAAGATCGAGTGCTCATTTTCTCTTGAGCTTCATATTTTATGCTTACTGTAATTTGGTTATCTTGTTAGGTGCAGATATTGGGGCAGAAAATACCTCAGACTTCATCTATAATTATGCAATTAGCATGCCAAATTTAGCGGTGAGGAACCTCTCATGAATGCTGCTAGTAATGTTCTTGAGGCCTCAATTTTATGAGGCATTTCTGCTCTAAAAGCAGCTTGCTCCTTCCATTTTTAAGGATACAAGTCACCTGTATTTCCTGTAGTGTAAGGAAAAAAAAATCTAGACAACTTTCTCAACCAAATTAAAATTGGGTTATTCTGAACATATTTAAGAGTAGGACACGACTTGGCGCAGCGGTATGGTTGCACTAGTGTGACTTGGGCATTATAGGTTATTCTTTGATGTGGTTTGATGTCACTTGTGGAAGATTGTGAGATTTGATTGGAGAATGGTTGGTTCCTTCATGATGACAGAACTATTTTGCCGATTGCTCTGTTAGCTTTCATGATATGATAATTAGAGTTTGCTATTATATTCTTAGCCTAATTACCATTAAACGTAATGTTATATTTTCTTTTACAATACAGTATATTGTAATATGCATCCGATTGTCATATTCTACATTTTTTTCTCAACTAGACAATGCTCCAAATATTTAGTTGTGGCCCCCTACTGAACAATGTTCCCATCCATTTTTGAGGAGCTGACAGCAGTTTTTTTTATGTGTTGTTTGGATTACCTGGACTAAAAAGAAGGTTTTGTGTTTGACCATGTAAAATATAGTTTTTTTTAATATTATATATTTATAAAATTTAAAAGCACACTCAGCCAAAGGGATTTGTTTGGGCACAAATGAAACTGCTGCCTATAGGTAAATGTTACAGTTACTGTGCAACTAAGGACATCTTTAGGGAGGAAGGATTACGGGTATTTAACCTTCATTTGTAGACTGGTAATAATGTTTTCTGTTAGCACTACACATAAGTCTGTAATGCTAGGTTTAGGTTGGTTAATTTTCCATCTCCAATTGCTGAAGGATGATATTCATGACATTAATTTTAGATTAAACTGAACCCAATAACCAGCTTTTGAGTTACATCTGCATAGGTGTAGAACAATAGGGCTTGTGCTGTACTTTTGATAAAACTACAATTTTGTATCTTATATTTTTGACAACAATATATATATATATATATATATATTGTTGGTTTTCTTTGGGTCTCTGCGTGAAGAGAATTGTTTTTGGATATTAATACTTGTATTAGCCAATATAGGAAAATAGCATATTCCACCGAGAAGATATAAAGCTTTAAGAAGGCTGTTTTAGGTTTATCCTCTATTGATTTCAATTCTGCTCTCTGGTGGACAATAGTATCTTTGCAAGTTTGGCTGGGCTGTCTTTTATAAGAAAATCAGATTTGGTGTATTTTGGCAATGCCTTGTATTTTTGCCACATTTTATTCATGTTGATGGCTCATTACAGGGTTTTTGGTGTGGCAATGTCCCAGCACTCCTCATGGTTATGCCATATACTGCCATACAATTTACTGTGTTGCACAAATTGAAGACATTTGCAACTGGTTCTTCCAAGACAAGTTTGTTAAACAACTCAAACAACATCATCAGAGATACAACTATATTGCACTCTTTGGCAATCTATTCCTTGGGATAATTAGATGTTACCACATACAATCTTTTTTTCACTTTCCAAACAGGAGCTATATTCCTCAGCTAATTATTATTATTTTCAGCTAAATGCAATTGCCTGTATTTGATGTTATTATTCTGATTAACTACATACAATTGGATCTCTAATGATTTGAGCTTGAAAAGTGGCTTTTGGTTGTTTAACTATTTAAGGAATTATTCTCATTTGTCATGGATGGCTGTGTTCTAAATGTATTGTGTAGTTTTGGTCACTGGAATGGGACCAAATGACTACATGATGAATTTTCCGTTGCAATGCCTAATGCGATTCTTGGCATCGTGCTTCTATTTTATTATCGTAGAAGCATGGCAAAGGGGATTGTCTGTGTTTGTTTGTGGTACTAATCTTATAAATTCTGATATAAGCTGTTTGATTGTGCAATGTTAAATGTCAAAACTTCAGTTAACACTAGGCATATGCACATTATTAGGCCTGATCTTTCTAGTATTGGTCTCTTACATGCCATATCCTGGTTGCTGTTTTTTGTGATACAGAGGATCACATTCATTTAAGTCCGTATCTTTCTTATATCAGTGGAGCATTAGCGGGATGTGCAACAACGGTTGGATCATATCCATTTGATCTTCTACGAACCAGTTTAGCTTCGTAGGTGGGCAGTCGTCATTAGCTGACTATTGCACTTATTATGTAGCTTATTCTGATGGATCATGCAATCATGCACAGACATGAACAGTGCGCGAGCACCTGACAGAATGTTGGGTGAGGTGAGAGGACATAGCTCAAGGTGAGATATGCTTATGGAACTTTTTTCAAATTCTCACATTTGAATTCTGCATTGGCATAACTTCTGTTCATTCTTGTAGGTGTATGGCCTCATCATTAGTACGGACTGGGTTTGTAAGGGGTTCCATGACCCAAGGAAATGGTTGTTATCAGCACAGGTGTATAAATAATTCGCTGGAGGTATAATTTGGACCTTTAACTTTAGTTTTTAATACAAGGATTCTAAGCTCATTTACGTTGAATAGAATGGCCGCAACGAAACATTGTACGAGTTCGATTTTGAATTTATTTCCTTCAAAGAATGCTACTGATACCATCTCTTTTAGGACCATTATGGAAAAATTGTCTTTACATTGAAAAACCAATTCCTTGGCAAAAATATAATTTTCTTTAAATTATAAAATTTTCCTAATCATGATCGACTGAGCCGCATCGTTTCTTCATTTATGTTCAGCAATAAGTTAAGGACTAAACTAGATGTTTCATAAGCACACACTGGATGTTTCATAAGCACACACTAGAGTCTCATCTAAATCAAGAACCACCTGTGTGCAGAGTTGCATGAATCAGACTTGAAATATATTCAGTAGTGAGAAACTATAACACAACAGCGAAACATTATAGTAGCAGCAGCAGTAGACTAGTATTAGTAGTACAGTAGTACTAATACTATTAAAGCAAAAGGTAAATAACACCTTTATCCTACTTCCACATCTTCCCTTCGCTTACTCACTAAGTTGAATGTGGCTTGCCCTATAGTTCTTGATCCTTATTGTTTTTTTTTTTTTTTTTTTTTTTTCTCTCAATGAAATTGGGCAATTGCATCTCCACTTTTGTCCAATCAACCCTAATGATTAACTTTGTTCTTTCTCTTCCTTTTTGTCTTTTTGAACGAAAACTATATAATTAACTCGAGAAAGTAAGCTAAAAAGTTAGCAAAGGGTGAAGGAAGCTTCATAGACACAAATTACCCAAAAAGAAACCTTCATAGGCACACACAGACACAGGTGGTTTCATGTTGCCATTCAAGATTTCAACATCTCCACTAAAATACAATCTCAATTAAGTTTCACTTCTTAGCATCAGAAAATATTGAATTTTTAAACGTCAACTCAATTAATTATTTATTAATTAGAATATCAATCTTTTCTTAATGATGGGTTTCCCTTGCCGAAGGCCCATAAAGAGGTTGTGCAATAATCAAGCAGTCATTTACATTGATAGTAACATTTTACTCCATGTTGGGAGCTAGCTTACCGAGGCAAATTACCAATTCTTTATGAAAACACAATAAGATAAAACATTGAGCAGGAAGGAGCAGGTAAAAGGCCCTTCTTATGTAACCTCAGTAAAAATCATTTTTAGCAGCAAAAATCCATTTATGGCATACATAGGTTGTGCATGATTGATAACCATGTTTGCAAATAGAGTATGGGAACAATTACCATAAGCAAATTACATTTTTGAAAGGCACATAGTTCAACCTCATTGTCAAAATCTATAATGCAACAATTACTCTTTAGATAGTAAGTAGTACACTTATAATTTCTCAATCACTGGATGGAAAAAATAATTCTTCTACCATATTCTGATCTAGACAATATTTCTAGTTAGTTCACAGCTTGTTGTATAATTTTTTTTCCTCAGCCCCCGTCCCTTCGTTGTTAGTCCACATGTCCCTCACACTCACTAGTCTTTATTTTGTTTGCACATAATCATACCTTACCTAATAACAACTTCATCTCATGTTTCTTGTAATGAATTAATAATACATTTCTCGTTAGAAACACATTCATTTCTTATTCTTGTCTTTTTGGCATGTCCATAATTCATCTGAGTCTTTAGATTTCAAATATGCTCATTTTATCAGCAACTGTTTTCTTCCTTCTGTGCCATGAAAGCAAGACCAACCTTCTACCAGTTGTCTTCAATTTAATAAACATTCATAGAGTTGGAAAACACTAACTGCAGCAAAACATCAACAAAGTTATGCAAATAGAGACACATTTGAGAGTAACAACTAACATTTGCACCAGCTCTGGCCGAGGCACTTAGGGACAGGGTGTTTGGTGTGGATGATTCTGAGAGACAATTGCATATAATTTACCTTGCCAATGACATTCTATTTGACAGGTACACTTCCAGTGCTATGCCAAATCTTAGTTCAACAAAAATTTGAGTGCTGTTGAAATGAATTTGATTTTGGCTGCTTTTCTGTGTGTGAATACCTATTGCTTTATTTTCTTCTTCTTTATTACATCTATTGCAGGATTCTTATTCACTGATATTTTCTGCCTCTTAAATGCTTCCGCTGCTTCATATCTCGTGGTGTCCACTGGCTACTCGAGTACTTTATTACATCTAATGCAGGATTCTTATTCATCAATGAAGGTTCAATTTGTGGACTCCTATGGCCTGCAGATCCATGATTTTGACATACTTCTTTCATATTTGTAGGAGATGAACCTGTTGGTTGAGGCAGATCAAACCAGGAAATCAGTTGGATGATTATATATCTAGATTGAATGCAATCCTGTCCCAGAAGGCTGCTGGCATTCTACAACTACAAAACCGTTTGGCTCATTTTCAGAGACGTCTAAAGGAGCATAATGTTCTAGTGTCTTCTACTGATTGCTAGACCAGTATATGTAATCGTTTTCTATGTTGTAGATTTCATTCTTTTTTCAGTGCTCCAAATACTGTGACTAATATAATTAAAATAATATTAAGATTTTTTTTTTTTGATCATGAACTTTGGATTTTTTTTTCCCTGTCCTAGGAGACAACTACATGGACTTAACTACCATGTGTTGAATTTATTTTGTTTTGATTGGTGAAATTCCAAAAAAGAATTGAATTTAGAAGGAAATAAATCTGACTGTAGAATTCATTAAATGGCTAAATATATTTGGACTGAATTCAGTTTCAACTTTAAGATTTTGTTTTTTTATACATATTATTATATATTTGAAATGGCTTAGATATATTTAAAATACCTATTATTACAAATTTCATCTAACTGGATATCAAGGATCCTTTCCTCGTCTTTTCTACTTCATCTCCTTCTTATAATGGTCAAAATTCACTCTAAGAAAATTCAACGGTCCCGTTCATTTAATTAAAAAAAATATAAAAATTAAAAAATAATATTTTTGAGATGATTTGGATCATTAGATTCTCTTAGGGTGAATCTTGACCATTGCAAGGAGGGAGTCAAGTAGGAAAGAGAAGGAGAGAATCCTTGCTCATCAAAGCCTTTCCTTCGTTTTTTCCACATTTCTTGTTCTATCGAATTTTGGTAGGAAATTTTCCTAAGAGTAAATTATTGAATTTTAATTGAAGGAAATTTCCCCGCAGTTATCCAAGTAAATTAGATATTATTTAATTTTATCCGTATTTTTCAAGAATAATTGTGTTCTGAGATCTAAATTGGCCAAAAGCTTTGCAATACTAGAGGGAGCAATTAGAGATTCAACCTAACCTTTTGATTGCCTGAATTTTCATTAGGAAATGACTCAAGCCTCTCGGAAAAATAGAGAAAAAAAAATAAAAAGACAAATAAAAAAGATCACACAACAAAACAAAACATAAAAATTAAAAAATTAATTTTTTTTTTTAAAAAAATAAAAAAAATAAAAGAGGAGAAAACAAGCTTCGAGTCTGTTTGGTATTAGTTTTTCAATTTCCTAAGAATACAAAAAACTTGTTTTGAGAAAGGTTTCAAAAAATTGTTTAAAGAATTTTTTTTTTTTTTAATACAACCTACTTTTTAGAAAACATTAAAAGGTTGTTTTTGAATTTTTAGAAAATGCTTTCAAACAAACATTAAAATTATTCCCCTTTATATATATATATAATTTTATTTTTAGAAACATGAGCGAACACAAAAATACCAAAAATGATACCAAACAGGCCCTTCGTAACTCACAGGCTCTAATTTAGGTCGGGAGATAGCAATTGACACTGCTTTCATATTTTTTCGCTTGCCCAACTTGCATGCTACTGTAATTTTCATGGATTTCATGTTCATTTAGGGTTGGTAAATAAATGAAAGTCTTTCATATGCAAATTCAGACCTATTTTTATCTTTACAACCCATATTCAATTTTTAATCCCTTATCAAACGTTACTAGTCAATAGTCAAAAAACCCCATCAAATGGATAATAGAAAAATAATAATAATAATAAAATAAACTTGATAGCTTGATGCATATAAATAGTCCCCCTCCCTGCATTGATTATGTATAGTTTTGTTTGCTCTTTGCATGCATGCCCAACAAGATGAAACCTCTGAGCATTGTTTTAGTCATTCTAGCAGTACTAGCTCTTCTTTCGAGCATCAAACCACATGAAGCTAGTAGAGTCCTACATGAAGAAGAAAAAATGTGGATGAAAAAAGAAAATCTTCACTTACAATCTCTGCCAAAAGGTGTCGCAAGCCCTCCAGAAATAAATCCTCCCATCATACCTGGGCATCCTCCCAGTAGCACTAAAGCCAGTACTATTAGCCAGAGAAGCTATGCACGTCATGCTATGCCTCCTCCACCACCTCACAACTGATGGTTCCATTTGGTGAGGCCAAAAATTAAGCTTAAATAAAACCGTGTTGCAGTGAATAATAATTTTACTTTAAAAGTTGGAAGCACCAAATTGTAGTAGTGAGTAAAATAAGACATGTTCAATTCATGTTGTAATAATTTTAAACTCATTATTTATATATGTTGTTATAGTAGTGAGTAAAATAAGACATGTTCAATTCATATTGTAATAATTTTAAACTCATTATTTATATATGTTGTTATAGGTGTGTATTATATATTTGCTTGTTCTCTACAATAAAGGAAGCTTAAGAGAATGATTAGTTTATGTACTTTGATACTCCTTATAATGGAAGAATAAAAGAGTCAAGTGATTTCTACCTCTTTAATTCTTGTCATGTTGTTGTTATTGTTATTGTAGCTCTTTTGTGTATGGGGGTTTTGCAAAAGCACACTACTGACTAAAACAGAAGAAGGTAAGAATAAACAACATATATTATT